AATAAACAAATTACAAAAAATTACATTTAAATCAAAAACTATTTACTCTTATTTATACATATTTGATAAGCAGACATGTTTAAAATTACAGGTTTTATATATTTAAAATTGTTCTTATAATTTGCTTTTTATTTATTAGTTTAGACCTTTTTTTGTTATTAGTAAGTATTCTAGCTAGAGTATTTCAAAATGCTAATCGAATATAATAACAATAATGTACTCAATCATTTCAAATAATAATAATAGGCAAAATGTATTTGGCGACCCTGTTGCCATGGCGACCCTTTAAGATCGACCAATCAGAATTAGTTTATTTGGTCACATTGGTCACATGTTTATGTGTACACGTATATTACGCTATTACGCGTATTAGTTTATCTGTATATTATGTATCACATACAGTTCTCGAAAAAAGTAATCGGAATTACAAAAAGTGCAAAAAATAAAAATCCAATGATTAAAATCGCTTTAAAATTTCCAAATTTATTGTTAAATGTGTAAATATTATGCATATAAAATTTCAGCCCTTTATCTCATTTCCTCGTCTCTCAATCAATTTTTAATTGAGAAAAAAAAAGTCATTAAAAATTTAAACTATAAAATCCTAAAAATTCTGGTATAGCATTCAAATAGTAGTTTATTAAGGATTGGATGATTATAAAATAAAGCTTACATAATGTTGATTCTAATAAAAAAATTTCACACTTTATCATTTGTTGGCTGTTGAAAAATTTGAAATCAAAGTTTATTTTCCGTATTGATCGGCAACCGTCCCTAACCCTTAATATTAGTTGAAAGGCAAAATTGGATTTAAAATATATAATTATAAAGGATTATAATAAAATCTAATTAATATTAGATAAATAACATTTAATTTATTTGAAAAAATATCAATCCAAATAAGCTTAATGCTTTTAAAATTGAGTTTTATTAATGATTTTTGAGTCAACTTTAATCCAAATTTGCTGAAAAACTGATTAATTAAATGGCAAAAAAAATATTTTAATAAATTAATAAAAGATATTCTTTTATGTTTATAATATTTTATTACAAATATACATGCTGATTATTAAGTGTCTGAGAACAATATCAAATCTTTATAAAATTTACATCCTGCTTAAATTTTTAGCGATATTTTTTTCAAATTAAAAAATCGATTGTGAGACAAAGAAATAAGATAAAAGGCTGAAATTTTATATTTATAACCTTTACACATTTAGCAACAAATATTCGAAATTTGAAGTTATTTTAATCACTGGTTTTTATTTTTTTGCATTTTTTGCAATTCCGATTACTTTTTTTGAGAACTGTATATGTGTTTCACCTTGAAAAAAAAACTCAGAGAAAAAACTCTAACGAGAAAAAAAAGCTATAATATGGAAGAACAAAATTTTGAATTGAAAGCGTTAATGGAATACAATAGTGCAGAAGAATTTTTTGACAGTGATAGGTATATGCTTATAGACTTTAATTAGTCAAAAATAACTTATCTTTACTATCAGTAAACCTAATAATACTATAATACTGCTATTATTATATGCTATTAGTAAAGGCACTAGTAATAAATCTAATAAAAGTTGTGAAGTTTCTGAATCAGAAACTTCAGAAACTTTAGGTTCAGGAACCAATTCTTCAGAAATTACTATATATGTCAGTAAAACTTTTCAAAGTTGGGAATATGTTGAAAAATTCATGCAAAGATACGCTTCTGTTAAAGGACATGGAGTTAGAATTGGTGGCGGTGGAAGAGTGGACAAAAAAACCTGTCAAATATTAAAAAGAACTTATCTTTGCCAGCATGCTGACGAGTCAAAAGCATCAACTTTTTGTAAGGTAAGTTGTTCATGGAAGCTCAATATATGGGCTAAAAAAGATAAAAATTATCTTGAAGTAACGACTTTTAAAGATCAGCATGTTGGACATAAGCTTAGTCCATTAGCAAGTCAGTTTGTTCCAACATTACAAAAATTATCAGAGGAAATTCTTCAAGAAATACGTTTTTTAACAGTAGTAGCTAAGGTTAATGCAACTGTACAATATAGAATAATCAGGAAAAAGTTTAAAACAAGAATATTTCAAACGGACCTTTATAATGCTATTGATAAGTTTCGTCGTGAAGCAATGCCAGGTGAAGAAGACACAGGAACATTGCTAAAAAGACTTTATGATAAAAAGGATGAAGACCCACGATGGGCAATTACAATGAAACTTGATTTGGCTATAGGTTCATTAACTCATCTTTTTTGGATAACTCCTGAGCAGCAGATCTTATGGCTGCATTATCATGACGTAATAATGCATAATAATACGTGTAAACCAATTGTTATAACCGTCCATTGTCTCTTTTTGTTACTCCAGATAATAATCTAAAAACACGAATTGTAGCGCAAGCGATTGTGGATGATGGATCACAATTTTTGTATGAATGGGTTTTTCAATGTGTAAAAGAAGCAACAGGTGTTGCACCAACAGTTTTTGTAACAGATGGCGATCCGGCTGTAAATACCGCTGTGATAATACAATATCCCGATACTTTTCATATGCATTGTATTTGGCATATTAGCCAAAATTTGCCAAAGCAAAGTTAGGTTCAACTTATAATGATTTCATAAAAGATTTTTATAAAGCAAGGAATAGTCTAACGGAAGGACAGTTTTATGAAAGGTATTGATTTATGAAAGGTATTGATCACTTTGTTTTGTCTTTTTATTATATATTGTAATTATACATTTATTCGATAAAGGTGGGATACATTATCACAAAATTATCCAGAATCTAAAGATTACTTAAACAGATCTTTAGGACAGAATCCACAATCATAAGCTCGTGCATTCACTAATAAATATTTTACTGCTGGTGTGCAATCTACTTCTCGTAGTGAAGGTGAAAATTCAACATTAAAACGGCTTTTTAAAAATTCAAGTCTTTCGTTATGTGAATTGTTTGATGCATTAGAAGAGAGGTATCAAGAGGAGAATAATTATTGTGATTTCGTTAGTTGGAAGAAGTCTGTACCACAAATCGGTTCAAAAAATGTGTTTAAATCCATTTTCAGACCTGTTGTAAAACAACTAACCGAATTCGTCTTCCCAAATATTATAAAAAAACAGGAAGAACAAATGGACTTAAGTCTTTGTTATCATGCTGTACAAATTGTATTGAAAAATGCACTTCCTAGAGAAAAGGTAAATAATATTCAAAGTTATAAATATCACTAAAGGTTAACATCAAAAAAAATCTTCAGTTACCAAATTTCTTTTCATAGGAGTTTGTTGAGTTAGAGCATTGCATAATTTGCATTGATAATTTGTTTGACTGTTCACAAGCACAATTGAGTTCATTTCTTGTAGATATTTTCCAAGTTCTTGAAATTTGGGAGGTTAACCATTTGGTTAACCTAAATACATCTCATTTCATATGCCTTTTAGATAATGGTACATTTCTTTGTACGTGTATGGCTTTTAAGACACTTGGATACCCCTGCTGTCATTTTTATCGTGTGATGACTTTAACACCTATTGCAAAATTTCATATCAGTCTTATTAATAACTGTTGGTACAAAGAGTTATTACAAGGAAAAAATATATCAAGTTATGAATTTGTCGTCATTTCAAATTTACCACCAAGAGAGAACCATATACTTCCATTATAATTTCTGAGCTCTGATTCTATAGATGCTATCCAAATGGAATTATCTCAAATAGGAGATATCGAAGTTTCAAAAGTTATCTTAAAAAAACGTAAATTTGGTGAACTTTTTGGCTTAGGAAGGAAAATAATATCAGATGTAATCGAGGATGGTGATGAAGAAACTTATAATGAAGTTCTTAATTTTCTTCAATCAATTCAGCAAAGAAGGCAGAGAATTTTTCATAATAATAACAACGTTAATGTTAATATTGTGGGAATTCAAAATCCTGTTACTCGAATTCCACACAGGTCGAACAGATGTCATTGTCGCAAAATTTGCCTGGAATTTTTCTGGCAAATTAAGAATTATCCCGGTAAATTGGGGTAAATTGTGTTACAATTTTGGGATAATGGAGGACTTACAATTTGGCAAATTTTGTCAAAATCGCGGAATTCCTACAGAATTCCTAATTCAAATGTTGAGAAATTTTTCAGTAAATTATCATTAAATTGTGGGAAATTTTAGGCAAATCTTTAGTAATGATATGCAAACGAAGTGCAAATTGTGGTGAATTTAGTTAAATTTTTAGTAATTTTATGTAAACGTAATGCAAATTGTGGTGAATTTAGTTAAATTTTTAGTAATTTTATGTAAACGTAATGCAAATTGTGGTGAATTTAGTTAAATTTTTAGTAATGTTATGTAAACGAAGTGCAAATTGTGGTGAATTTAGTTAAATTTTTAGTAATTTTATGCAAACGTAATGCAAATTGTGGTGAATTTAGTCAAATTTTTAGTAATGTTATGTAAACGAAGTGCAAATTGTGGTGAATTTAGTTAAATTTTTAGTAATGTTATGCAAACGTAATGCAAATTGTGGTAAATTGTAGTGTATTTTTAGTAATGTTATATAAATTGTTGAAAATTTAGGTGAATTTTTCAGCAATGTTGTGCAAACGTAATACAAATTGTGGTAAATTTTGCATTTTTTCGGTAAATGTTAGCTAAACTTTTGATAATTTAGTGAAATTTAGGATAATTTCGGACAATTGAGTGAAAATGTTTTACTGATTTTGGACAATTGAGTGTAAACAGTATAAACGCAACATTTTCGGAGACAATTTAGTGAAATTTTGCAATAATTTTGGACAATTGAGTGAAATTTAGTAATAATTTTAAACAATTTAGTGTAAACGCCATGACAATTTAAAACACTGTTTTAATAATTTCACATAATTTATTATAATTTTATTTATTAATAAATGTACAATTATTATTATTTAACGATAATCTATGGATAATCTGCACCTCTAATTCATTCATGTATCAAATGTCCAGTGCCAAAGTATAAGCTTGTGTAAACCTAAAAAAAAAAGAAAAAAATGAAGCGTTAATAAACGTTTCGTTAAAAAAATCAAAATAAAGAAACATTTCAAAGTATATATCTTCAAAATGTTAAATTCTATACGTTCAAGGACCGTTGAACCTAAAAAATAAAAAAACAAAACATTAATATACGTTTCATTGAAAAAATCAAAATAAAGAAACATTTCGAAGTATATAGTACCTTCGAAATGTTAAATTCCATACGTTCAAGGACCGTTGAACCTAAAAAATAAAAAAATGAAACATTAATATACGTTTCGTTAAAAAAATCAAATTAAAGAAACATTTCGAAATATATACCTTTCGAAATGTTGAATTCCATATGTACAAAGACTGCTGAATCTAAAAAATAAAAAAAAAATGAAACGTTAATATATGTTTTGTTAAAAAAAATCAAAATAAAAAAAAATATTTCAAAGTATACCTTCAAAATATTGAATTCCGGTTTGTCCAATGAGCCGCTAAACCTAAAAAAATATAAAAAAAATGAAACATTAATATACGTTTCGTTGAAAAATAAAAAAAAATATTTCGAAGTATACCTTCGAAATGTTTTCCTTTTCCCTTTCGTTTCACCCTTCCCTTTCATCTTCTCCTTCACCTTTCATTTTCGTTCTCAACTTTCTCTTTCGTTTTCTTCTTTCCCTTAAAGAAACAAAGAAAAAAGAAAAAAATTTTAATAAATATAAACAAAATAACAAAATTTCTCTAATTCCCTTTACCATATTACCTTCCACCCAAAGCCCGGTTTGTGAATTCGTTCTGGTGTTCCTACAATAAAAGAAAAAAAAAGTAACGTTTAAAATGTTACTAAAAAAAGCACTAAACTTTCCTCTACCCTATTACCTTTCACATAAACAAAGTCCGGTTCATAATTTCGTCCGGAGTTCCTACAAAAAGAAGAAAGAAACATTAGAAACGTTTCCTTACAAAAAATAATTAAAAAAAAAATTTTTTTTAAAGTTTCGAAGCGAAACGCTTCAAAACTACCATATTTTACCGATTTGGAATATTGGAGCACGGACCTACAAAAAAAAAGAAAAAGAAATGATAAAACGTTTCTAAAAAATCAAAAAAGAAAGAACTCTTCAAACTTTTTCTCCCAAATACCTTCAAGTCCGGTTCGTAAAAATTCATCCGGCAATTCCTACAAAAAAAATAAAAAATAAAAAAAAGAAACGTTAAGAACGTTTCTAAAATGCAAAAAAAAATCGAATTATCTCTCCCTCTTTCTTTAATTACCCAAAGACATTTCGTCCGGCGTTCCTATAAAAGAAAAAAGAAACGTTAGAACGTTTCTTAGTAAAAAACAAAATAAAATCAAGTTTCGCAGCGAGACGCTGCGAAACTTACCATATTTTATCGATTTAGAATATTGGAGCACAGAACCTACAAAAAAAAAGAACGTTAGAAAGTTCCTTTAAAAATCAAAAAAAATAAAAATAAAGTTTCGTAACGAAATATTCGTTACGAAACTTACCATTTTGCCGTTTTAGATCCTTGGAATACCGAAACCTACAAAAAAGAATAAAGAACGTTAGTATTTAGTAACGTTCCTTTTAAAAATAAAAAAAAAGAATCGAAGTTTCAAAACGAAACTTTGAAACCTAACCGAAATCCAAGATCAGAAGGAATCCAGAGTGTATCTACAAAAAAAGAAGAAACGTTAGCTAACGTTTCTTAAAAAAATTTAATAAAATTAAGTTTTACAACGCAACGTTGTAAAACTTACCGGTTCGTTTCGATTCCATCATCCAAACATCCAGCGTTCCTACATAAAGAAAAAGGAAACTTAGAAACGTTTCCTTACAAAAATTAAAAAAAAAAATTAAAAAGTTTCGAAGCAAAACGCTTTGAAACTTACCCTTCGGTTTCTCGTTTCCCAAAGCCAAACCATTGAAAATTCTATAAAAAAAATTTAAAGTTTCGAAGCGAAACGCTTTGAAACTTACCATAATTTCAGTTCGTTTCCCAAAGTCAAAACATCGAAAATCCTACAAAAAAGAAAGAAAGGAAACGTTATAAACGTTTCCTTACAACAAAGAATTAAAAAAAAAATTTAAAATTTAAAAAAGTTTTGAAGCGTTTCACTTCGAAACTTACCATTGTTTTTCTGAAAGACGGTTTCGGGAAGGGGAAAGGGAATGGGAAAGGAGTGGGAGAAAAAAGGGAAGGGGGAAGGGTGGAGGAAGAGGAAGGGGAGAAGAGGAGAGAAAGAGGGAAGGTGAAGGTAAAAGAAAGAGGGAAGGAGAAGGCGAAAGAAAAAAGAGGGAAGGGGAAGGGTAAAAAAAAGAGGGAAGGGGAAGGTGAGAGAAAGAAGAAAGGGGAAGGTGAAAGAAAGAGGGAAGGGGAAGGTGAAAGAAAGAGGGAAGGTGAAGGTGAGAGAAAGAGAGAAGGGGAAGGGCGAAAGAAAGAAGAGGTAAAGGCCGTGAGAAAAAAAAAATTAAGCTTTTGCTAAAAAAAAGCTTAATTTTTTTTTTCGTTATACCGCAGCTTTACCTTCCTTTGGTTCAGAATCCCAGTCAACTTCTGGTTCTGTGTCAGGTTCTGAGATAGGTTGCTCTTCGGAAGCCGGTTCTAAATTAGATTTATCAACAGATGCAGAAGATTCTGCGAAAGACTCGGGTTGTTGCTCAGGAGCTGGGGTTGTGGTTATAGGATCTGAGTCAGATAGCAAGTCATCTAAAACGTCGTAGTCATCATCAGCTTCAAATGCAGGTTCCTCAGCAGGCGGCTCATCTTCTTGATCAGGTTCCTCATCAGATAGATAACAGTCTGAGAAACTGTCTATAATTTCATCAGTGTCTGACTCTATGGG